ACCTGAGTGTGTGTGTGTAAACATGATAGACTCACTTCCCAGCAGAGGTGTTTTCAATAGAAGGGGGCTCGTCTCACACTAAAAAAATCAAGAACCCACAGTATAGCTAATGAGGGTATCTAGTCTGTGGGGAAATGAACGTCACCTGGTTTGTGGCAAGCTTCCCGCGATCCTAATTCCTTCCCCCAGTGGAGGGGAAGGGGATGCCGGGCCATTAGAGAGGGTGGTGATCGCTGATCAGATTTGGGAAAGAAAGAGCATTTTTATTTGTTGGCAGGAGAACAGGATATTTTCCAAAATGAGGATTCAAAAGTGGGAACTCAAAGAAACTTTTATCGATTTCTCTCTTTCTTACTGCATTTTGACTGTCCGGGGGATGCAGCTGGAAGTGCATTTTCTACGTGCATCACCGTGTCAGGTGGGGCAGGATGGGAGAGGGGGACATGGCTCTGAGCCCCTTGTTTCTCTGTGAACCAGGTTGGAAGGGGTGATGTCAGCCAACCCGGGGTCAGTGCCCAGTGCCACCACCCTCTGGCCGTGCAGCTGTGTGGCCTCGGAAACAATGGGACCCTCTTTGAGCCTTGGTTCTCTTCTCTGTAAAATCGGACCATTGATACAGCATCCCTCAGGGGGGCTGGCGGAATTTAACGAGGTAACGCTAACCAGGTTCGTCACATGGCCCGGTGTGTAGTGAGCGTTCAGTAAGAGGGCGTCATTATTTCCGTGGTCTCTTTGTTCTTCTCCCCTTCCGTGGGGTGCTGAGACATCGGCCAGCCTCTGAAAATTGGCCGACCTTTGGGAAAGTTGAAACCACTCAAAGCTTTCATAAATCGGTCTTTTGGGAGATACATACACAATGGTATCTCTCACTTTGTAGATTTAGATTTCCTGACCTCATATTGACCACGATTCAGCTATTCACTCATCAGATACTTGGCTGTAGCTGAGGTGACTCACTGAAAGGGGTTTAATGCCCTTTTAGCCTTGAAGACTTGTTTCATGCTCAAAAAGCCAGTGAGAGAGAATCTCTAAGGATTCTGACAAGTTCCTTTAAAAAGAGCACATGCAATGAGGCAACTTATCCACTCAGTCTCTGGGAGCAGTGAAGACTTCCAGCTCACGTAGGAATTAATTGGGCACTTGAGTAAATGAGTGTGGAAAGAACCTATGGTTCAGCCCCTTCCTTGCCCGGCTCCTGGGCTGCCCTTGAGTGAGGGAGTGAGCCGTTAGGCGCCTGCACAGGACCCCCAGGTAGATGCCTCCTTGAGTGTCCAGCAGCTCACAAACGTGCCTTTCGTGGTGTGTTTGGGGTCCACCTTCTTCTTTGGAATTACAACAGAAGCCGGTGGAAACTGTGACTCGATTTACAGAGAACGTGTTTCTTTACACACAACACTTCAGGAATGTGCTTAGTTTGCAAGGAAGTCCGCTTCAGGACGAACACGTAGAGCATAAGACACAGTGACGTGGAGTAACTGAGCAGGGGGAGAGACTTCCAGAAGTCAGCCTGCGTTGGAGTGAGTTCCTAATTATCCCGGGCCTGCCCCGAAGCGCCGCCGGGGAGAGCCCATAACCGGGACCCCTGCACGGGCACGTGCCGGAGCGTCACAGCTGCTGTTGTTGGGAGATTTTTCTCCTGCCTCCGTCTCGCCCGCCCTGTGGTCCACGTCCTTCTTCCTGCTTTTGTCTTCTACTGAGACGGATACTCAACCGACCGTGGTACCTAGAACAGCTCCTTCCGCCAGAGTCCCTCCGTGTGGCCTGCAGGGCGCTGGCCTCACGCGCCATTCCCATGGGCAAAGGCTCCCTGGGCGTTGTTTGTTTCAGAAACACCGCCTCTTGGAGACACACGAGGCATGTGCACGTGAGGTTAAAGGCTCTGAGAAGTCCCGCAGCATGTAAACCTCCTCACTTCCTAAAGCAGTGGCATTCAAATTATTATTATTTTTACGGACGCTCCACCACTTTTGGGGGTAACTTCTGTGCATGTCCCACAAAAACTGCAATCCAAGGTACACATTTTGAGCAACTCAAAGAGATCTGAAACTCCTTGTAATGGATTTGAGTCCACGAAACCTAAGACCGTAAAGGTTTTGTCAAATGGGGATGACTGGGGAGCTTTTTAATCAACCTGCTTAAAGGTTTCCACATTCCTCTGGAGGGTGTGCAGTGCCTCGTAGAGTCAGCGATTTGATAAGGCTCTGTCTGAATGGCGTGAAAGAAGACGTCGTCCCTGTGGACCTTCGGAGTCTCCTTCAGCAGAAGGCTTTGAGGAGAACAGCTGCAAGGGCTGTTCCTGTTTGTTAGGCGTGGGGTCCCTGTTCTGCTCTGCCTGCGAATGTCCGCACTTCAGATACTCTTTGCCGGACGGCTGACTGACTGAACGGCGTTGCCTGCCGGTGCTAACCGCATGATTTCCATGTGAGCTGTTAACCAAAGATTAGGGCATGGATTTCTACTTACAAGTTCTTTTTCCACTAAATTGGGCCACTTAATGAAAAAAGTCAAGAATAACCTTTACTAGCGATCACGTTTACAAAATCTTATTCGCCATCTGCGCAAGACACAGACGTTCACAGGGAGCTATAAGTAACCAGGGTTTTCAGTCTTCTCTCCCATTTTCTTAAATACTGTTTTCACGTTTGACACCCCCTTGCCGTCTCCCAAGGTATTTCAGGTGCTGGCCCCCTCCAGCTGGACCTGGCTCCTGCCGTGCTGGGGTTTAAGTCCTCCGGGGAGCTCCTTCTGCTGGGCGTTCTGGGTCACTGAGGGCTCTTACCTCTGACCCGTCTCTCTCACCCCCGGAGAGGCCTGATGCTCCTGTCTGCTCCTCCACCAGCCGGTCCAGGACTCCGTTCTTTCTGCCAGGCTTCCCTTCTGTGCTCAGAGGCAAAACGAGAGAGGATGTAACTTCTCTCTCTTTTATTTATATATAAACACAGTCAGTTCACAGTGTTGTGTCAATTTCTGGTGTGCAGCACAGTGCTTCAGTCATATGGGAACACACATATATTTGTTTTCGTATTCTTTTTCACCATAAGTTGCTACAAGATAGTGAATACAGTTCCCTGTGGTGTACACTATAAACTTGTTGTTCGTCTGTTTTGTATATATTAGTATCTGCACATCTCCAGCTCCCGATTTATTTCTTCTTACTCCCTTCTCCCCCTGGTAACCGTAAGTTTGTTTTCTACGTCTGTGAGTCTGTTTTGTAGATAAGTTTGTTTGTCCCTCTCTCTCTGTTTTTCTTTTTCCTTTTTCAGATTCCACGTGTAAGTGACATCACGTGGGATTTGTCTTTCCTTCTGGCTGACTTCCCTCCGAGGGACATTCTCTTGACTCGCCGTTGCCTTTGTATCTGCCCCTCTTCTGGACGGCTTGGCCTGCGAGGAGGAGGTTCTGGTGTCTGGTTGTTTCTTTCCTTTTTAAGCCCACTACGAGTCAGAACAAGGCAACTGTGGGGAAGACGGAGAGCATGTAACCCTGGGCACCTGTCAGTGACGTGCCGTGGGACCCTGAGTGGTCGTCTCCCTGGCCCTTGGCATGTGTTAGCTTCTGGTATCATTCTCTGTCCCGGTGACTTCATCTCTGCAGTGAGGTGGCTGGATTAGACAATTTTTGAGCTTTTGCTTGAAAATTCTGTGATTCCTCAAGCCTATTCGTTAAATGTGCAGCTGCTTCCCTGGATAACTTGGCAAACTTTATTGCCTGGCTCCTGACACCAGAACGATCTTTTAAAAAGAGAGTTGGAGTTAGCTAAAATTTCAGCTTTATATAGAATCATTGAATTTCAGAGGTCATCTGCCCCAGCCTCTTATTTGGCAGACAAAGATCAGAGCAGAATGTGACACTTAAAAATACGCCGTGTGAGTTACAGCAGCTTTTTGAAAGTGATGTCATCATTTTTCTGTGAGACTGAGCATGAGAAATTTCTTCCCTGCACTTTTCTCTTACTTTCCCTCCCTCCTGCCTTCCCTCCTGCCTCCCTTCCTTCCTGTTTTCCTTAGGTGAGGTCTATCTTAGTTATTAAGTGATCCCAGATCTTTTTTATTTCAAAGTAGCAAAATAAACATTCCTTGGTGTTGGCAGTGTCAGCGCCTTGGCATTACGATTGGAAAAACACTGGACATGTAAAGGCACTTCTATATTAAGGAGAAGCGAGAGATGCAGACCAGCGGGGTTGCTGACCAGGATCCGCTGGGTCTGTGGCTCCCCACTTGCAGAGGGAGCCTGCAGAAAAGACAAAGGAAGGGAGAGTTCCTGCTTCTGCAAAAGGGCAGGGACCCCAAGGCGGGCATTGGACCATATGCTGGGCTGGTCCTGTTGTGCCAGGCTGTGGCCCTGGGTAGAAAGGTCTGTCCAGCTCAGCCCTGGGAGCTGTGGCTGCATGTCCGGACCATGGTCCCCTCGGACCCAGTTTCCAGTCCTGCACGGCTGCACCAGGTCCTGGTGCTTTTTGGGATCTGTTCATTACCCTCATCTCAGTTAGCCTCCCTTCCCACTGCTGGTGCAACCTCATGAAGCAGCAGAACCCTGGACGGGGGTAGAGAAAGCCTGGGTGGGATCCAAGTGCGCTCTCTGACCTTGGAGCCAACAGCTTGAAACAAGCATTTTATTTCCTGAGTTTAAAAGCTGTATCTGCTCATTATGGAAAATTAGTACCGTTCAGAAAAGCATAAGGAAGAAAATGAGGAGTCCCCACAGTCCCGCAGCCAGAGGTACCAGTGCTGGTGCTTCACGGGGTCCTCCTTCCGGAGACGCTCTGGCTCTGCACCTGCGTCTTGCTGAGGCCGCGCTGCAGTTCCCTGGCAGACCTTCACAGTCGGCCTCTAAGGTTCTCGTGCATTTAGCACATAACCATCACGTAGATGCACCTTCATTTTGGTAACCTACCCCCCTTGATGGACATTCAGGTTTTCTAACTTTTTGCTCTTCTAAGCGATGCTACAGTAAATGTTTTTCATACAGACATGTGTTCACACTTACGACTCTCTCCTTAGGTCGTATTCCTGCAAGAGTCAAGTCGCATGAAGAAATTGAGCACATTACTTGCTAAACAGCAACAGAAACAACAATAATTAGCATCAGTAGACACTTGCCCAGCATAGTGTGTGCAGAAGAGAATGTCGCGTGTGCTGACTCCTTGACGCCCCCGGCACCCCTGCAAGCATCTCCACTCCACAGGAGCTGCTGGTCCAGGGTCGCATGGCCAGTAAGTGGGGTGGGGGGCGGGACTGCACCCCAGGCAGTCTGGCTCCAGCATCCTCACCCTTACCTGCTGCGCAGTGCTGCCCTGGTGAAATGAGAGAGCGAAGCGGACCAATCCCCGGGCGCCATTCAGCCGGGACATCATCTGTGCTATTCAGTGCTGCGCGGGCGATGCTCGCGGGCAGCACGATCGCCTGGTGTGAGCCCCTGGCTCCTGAATGCTCTTCATCCCCACCTGTGTGTGTTCAGCGGGGTCTGTGTGTGTGAGCGTGTGCGCTTATATGATCTTAGGAATGGAACAGAGCCAGCAGGGAGCGGGTGAGGCAGGGCAGCCTGGCCGATCTGTTGACAAAACAATAAAACGTGGCTCATCTGTGCTGTTCGTTGTGGCTGTAAACCCATCACGGTGTCCTTTTCATCTTAAGATTCTCAGGCTCTTCGGCTGGGAAATCTGTCTCTTTGTGATTGAGCTGTCACCCCAGTGGAGCAGGCATGGGATGAGATGTGCCGTCTAGGGCACTCCTGTCACAGAAGCACACAACTGTATGTATTGTCCGAGGAGGGCACATGCCCCCCCAGGGGCTCTGCCCATGCTGCCCAGGGCAGCCTGGTCCCCGCAGGTGCGACTGCTCACCTTGCAGGGCAGCAGGGAGTCGACAGGCTCATCACTGGAACAGGGACGCGTCCGGGCTGCTTTACTGAGTGTTCAGTGCAGAGGTGCCAGGCCTCCTAGAGCTCTGTACGGGAGGAGCGAGGGTCCGCTCCTCTAAGACCTGTGCAGCACGTGCTTATCTTCAGGAAGCCTGGGGAGGGCTTGGGCGGTGGGTCTCAGCCTTCCCAGGGCTTCGGAACCACCTGGGAAGCTTTGGAAGACCTACCACTTCCTGCCGCCCGCTGCTGTCTTAACCCCCCCTGCTCCACCCCAATGTGAGTAATTGATCCGGGGCGGTGTCCGGGTGTAGCAATTTTTTTCCCAAAGCTTCTCAAGGGATTGCAGCGGGCAGCCAGAGTTGGGGGCCCCTAGTCTAAGGAGTTCTGGCGATGGTGACTTTATGCCTTTGCACTTAAGTGCCCTTCCCTCCCGTTTCACAAAGAAAGCTCACAATTGAGCATCACAGCAGTCCACTCAGGTCAGTGGAGAGGGTACTTTTATGATTTTCCTTGGCCCAGAGAGGTTGACTGAGTTGCCCAAGGTTGCACAGCCTCTCCCCCAGTCACAGCAGCTGGTTCCTGCCCAGGCCAGTCCTGCCAGACCCTTTGGGAAAGAGCAGCCTCCCCTCCCCCAGGCTCTTCCGGGCTGGAATCACCCTTGCCTTCTCCTGCAGCAGCTGCCTCCCTGGTGTTGGGGCTCGCTCTTCTCATTCTCCCCCCAGCAGCCACTCTTCCTCCTCAGAGCCTCCTGGTGAAATGTGCCATCACATCTTTTCCACAAGCTCTGCCCGACTTAACAGTCAGATAAGGGCGCTGGGGGACGCGGTCACCCGGCCCTCAGCCCCAGATCCAGCCCTTCACCTCGGATGCTCTGCATTAGCGCCTGGCAGGAGTGAGCAGAGCCACCTCCAGCAGCAGCTGCCTGGGGCTAAGCGCCCTTCTCCCCAGCTGTCACCTCCCATCCGAATTTGTCTCCTCTCCCCTGCACCCCCTCCCCCCCACTCCCCAGAGTAGCCTTAAGACCCACCTGAGTCCTTCCTGGGAGCCCCTGCAGTGACGAGTCCCTTTCTGGGACACCTGGAATGGCTGCGTGCTTGACAAGGTCGCCAGGGGAGAGAAACACCCAGGCAGGTGGCTGCACACGCCCCGCCACCGTTCTCCGTTCACCAGTCGTGGGCTCAACTCTCTCCCGTCTCTGCCAAAGACTTCTGTTTCTCTTCACTCTTCCTCTCCTTGTTTGAAGCTTTCCCCTCACACGGGCTGTGTCCTGGACGGGCTCCCAGCGACTGCAGACTCTCTGTGTCAGAATCCTGCAGCCTCGGTCCTGGGATGCTGGGAGGGGGGCGGGGCGGGGAGGAGGCGGGGTTTCGGCTCCCGGGTGCTGCGGGGAGCAGAGCACCCCGGGGAGGAGGGGCAGGTGCGGGTCCCCACTTCCCTTCACCTGCTCAGCAGCCCTGGGACCAGGGGACGCCACCAGCCAGCAGACGCCCGCACAAGTGCCCCTCCCCGGCCTGCCCGCCATGTCTGGTGAATTGAGTTGGTGGGTTGGTGTGGAGGGTCAGTCAACATCCTTGAAGACTTCTAATTCCCCAAGACCAGCTTTTAGGAAAGGCCTGTCCTCTGCGAGCAAGGCCGGCGCCCGACTCTGCCCCTTCCTCCTAGACAGCAACTCAGTGTGACTTCTCCTGCCAGGTGAGAGGACTTGGAAGGAGGGAAGAGGCAGTGGAGTTGACGGGGTCTCCTTTCCCAAAGCAGAGGAAGCAAAGGTGTAGTCTCCCAGGGCCCGGCGCGGCTGGCCTGGTGAATCTTTACCATTCTGGTTGGATGTCATCAGACAGGATGGCTATTCGTGGGTCCAAGAGCCCATCCCTGTGCCCCCTTACCTGCCGGGTCACCCGAAAGGCTGAGCCTCTCGCGGCCAAGTCGTGCTACCAGACGCTGTCCCCCTGACTCAGTGGGTTGGAGGAGGCTGAACTGAGTCTCTTTCCCAGACACTGTCGGCTGGGACAGAAGGTCCCAGTTCAGTCTGGGCGAGTCTCTCTATGGAAGAGATGGAAAGCCTCCCAACCAGGGGAGCTGGAAGGGGTCTGACCCCCTATGCAGCTTCCCTTTCTCATTTTATAAATGAAAGAAAAATTGAGCTCCAGAGGTATCACCTGACTGGCTCGAGGCCGCAGGGCTGTGGCGGCTACGTTATAGCAGAGCTGGGTCTCACGTCCAGACTGTCAGCCTGGGTCCTCTCTCGGCTAAGATGCGGTGCCTCTACCGCTCACCTGTGAAACGGTGCACAGCTCAGACGTCGAAGAGGTCCCAGTAGCCAGCGCCGCATGGGGCTGCGTGGGGAGGGCGCAGACCTCAGCGTCACACTGAGCAGGTTCACGTCCTGCCGCTCTGGCGCTGGGCCCTGGGCATCCTTCTGACTCTCTTGGGACCTGTGTTCCTCAGTCATAGTGTGAGGGTCACTGGGCTTATTTTACAGAATTACCGTGAGGGTTTTCTAACGACGGTAAGAGATGCTTGGCACATAATCAGGGCTCAGTAAAGGAGAGAAGGCTCCTCGGACAAAATGAACAATGGTTGCTTTCTCCCCCGTGCTCTAGTTCTGAAGCTGGTTTGCTCAGGGAATTATTCAGTGGCTTTGTGTTTGCAGTGGGGAGCCTGAGGTCCTCAGAAAGTCCTCTGAATAAAACACAAGTCTCAGGGGAGGGGACAGCTCGGCGGCAGAGCCCAGGCCTAGCAAGCACGAGGTCCTGGCTTCGATCCCCAGCACCTCCATTAAAGACAAATAAATAAAAACAAATAAAAACCCAATTACCTCCCCCCCCAAAAACACATAATTCTCAACTTTTAAATTGTGCATTATTTTAGTCAACGGTTTGCAACACGTGAAAATAAAAAGCAGTCTAATTTTTGGTCAGTTTATTATTGTTTTAAAATCCCTTGTGCGAACTCCTTTATTGCCTGTGGGGGAGGAGGGCAGACCTCCCTCTGCACACTGCCCCTGATGCGCCACCAACCAAAGGCTCCTACAGGACCCGGGTGGAAGAGGTTTGGGTCCCATGCAGAGCACGTGCAGGGAGCCGTGAGGCCGCTGGGCTGCGGACAGGCTCTGCAGGTCAGAGGTGGGTTTGAAAAGAGCCTTTGTATTTGGGGTGCTGCCGCAGCAGGCGACAGACTCTGTCTTCCTCCAAGAGCTGCTTGGGAGTGGAAAAGCCCAGTGCGCTCAGAGATGGGGTGGGGGTGGTTGTCGCCGTCCTGCTGGCTCCAGGGACCGGGAGCTCGCAAACCCCACCGCTCTGGCCTCACTGGCTCCCCTAGACCCTCTCCAGGAGCCAGAGGAGCCCTCCCTCAGGCTGCTGGGAGCAGGTGGAAAGGAACAGCATCTCTTTGGTCCCTGGAACTTCCTGCATAACATACTCAGGGCTGCCAGGAAATCATCAAGGGGTGACGTTTGATGAGTCGAGTTACTCAGAAGGAAAAGCTTTGCCTGCCAGCCTCCACCCCTCCAGGCTTCGGGAGGTGCCCGTGTCCTGCCTTGGCTGCCCTGGGGAGCTGCAGCATTGCTCCATCCACACACCGGAGGCTGCAAGGACTGCTGGGGGCGTGTCGGTGGAGAGCAGAGCCTAAGGATGGCCAGAGCGCTTCGCTTGACCTCGGATTGCGTTGCAGCCGAAATGAAAGGTGATGCAACGGTCCAGGGAACTCGTTCGCCTCTGAAAAGTGGGCGACTTTGTTTTCTCTGTTTGCTATCGGCTTAGCTGACTTCGGACAGTCTCACCTATCTGTTGTGCCTCAGTGTCTTGGGCAGGGTGTCGGGTTGCTGTGAGAAGTAACAAACCAGGTGAACTGCACATAGACTGTCAGTTCACAGGTAAATGTGCATAAGTCATTTTTTAATTTTTTTAAAGTGATTTCCTGGAAAGCCGGTGCTTCCCGGGTCTCAGATCTGCGTGTGTACACAGTTCTCGTCCAGTTTATCCGGTGGCAGGCAGCGTCTGTGTCAAGCGGAACACTTGCGGGTTTCCAGCCGGTTTCGCAACGGAGTCAACTTTGACGAACGCTTCGGGGGCTGCGCGGTGCTGATTGGCATCGGCCACGGCTCAGCAGGGCTCCGAACTTGCGTTCAGATCTCGATCGTTGCTTGGAAAGTAAAGAAGCGGCAGTCCTGAGGGGATTTCTTTCACTCACTTTAAACACGGCTCTGTTTGTGCATTTTTCCTAGACTTGGCTTCAGTCAGAGCTATTTGTGGGAAGTAAGGCTTTCTGGGGGAGGGGGAGGCTATTTCAGCGCAGCTGGTAGTGAACCCAAGCCCAGTAGAAGAATTCTGTCTGCGATGTGAGGCCAGGATTCAGAATTCTAGTCTACACCAGAAGGTAGTGGGGTACAGAGGCAGGATGTGGGGCTGGTGTCTTGTGATCCTGGTTCTATCCGCCTAGCTGTGTGATTTGGGGTAATTACTTACCCTCATGGAGCCCCAGATTCCTCATCTGCAAAACGGAGAAAATAATGTCTGTCTCAAAGGATTGGTGGGCTCATTCGTGAGGTAATGTATTTAAGACATCTTGAGCACAGCGAGTGCTGAATAACATGCAGATATTATTTTAATTGGGCTACGGAACTTCGGTGCTGGTGGTTCTGTAATTAGCTGGGTCCAGTTAGCTTCTTTTGGTTACAAGGGGCTAAAACTCTGCCTCAAATCAACTTAATCAAAAAGTGGAAATCTGTTAACTCATAAAATTTCATCTAAAACTAGACTTCAGTTGGCAGATACTATAGAGCTGGCTAGAGCGTGGGAGTTCACAGGGGCTGAAGGACTCCTTAGTGAGGTTACCAAATTTAGCAAACACAAGCACAGGATG